TTCAAAAGGTTGTTTTGCTGAATGATTATTTGTATGCGTGTATCATTTTTGTATCTGAAGTTAGAAATATTGACTATGTATCTGTATTTCAAATGTGCTTACACCTGGGCAATGCCCACTAGACAAGATGTTTTCATTCTAGACAGTGGGTGGGGAAGGGCCTATTCAGTGCAATGGCCTATTGGGAGAACAATAGGACTTAGGTGGGAGATAAGCTGCTTCTGGGGAGCCTTCCTGAGGATGCTACAGACAGCCTCCGAGTAATGGCTGCTGTGACACTACAGGGACATGTGACCATGTCACCTGGTGTTGGACTCCATCTTGGGATGTCAGTATTTTTCCACTGACTGGCATGGGAACCAAGCTTTGAAACAAAGTGTTCCTGCCATATGCAAAAGCTATATAAGGCAGGGGAGTCACATCATTGTGGTTCTTCACAGGCTCCCCACCCAAAGAAACTCCTGGAAACACCTGAGGAACAAAGACTGAACTGGGGGAAGTGCTGGATCCAGGCTAAAGGGATTTTTAGCCTGTGAATGGAACACCTGGAGATTCTAAGCTGCAAGCCAGTGCAGCTTGCCCCTTAGGAATCTGCAGCCTGCTTATATCATCACTTAGGGTGAGGATTTGCTATTCATATCCGATCTATGTAGTATATTAAGTTCAATTTGCATTTTTGTTTATTTGCTAGGTAATCTGCTTTGATCTGTTTGCTACCCCTTATAATCACTTTAAATCTATCTTTTGTAGTTAATAAACTTGTTTTTGCTTTATCTAAAACCAGAGTATGGAAGCCATAACTCGGGGCAGAAAGCCTTTGTATATTCCTCTCCACGTGGAGGGAGGGGGCGAATTTCATGAGCTTATGCTGTACCGTTCCTTATGCAATGCAAGACAGTCTAATGTGGATTTATACTCCAGAGGGGTGCATGCCTGAGTAGCTGGGAAGTATCCTAACTGGAGCCTTCCCATGCAGTAGCTGGTCAGAGCATCTGAATGTGTCCCTACCTGTATGTGTGCTGGTGAGTGTAGGCTGGAGCCTGGAGAGGGCTTGGCAGCCTGTCATAGCAGTACAGTGTAAAGGGAGCCCAGGCTGGTGGGTCAGGGGGGCTCAGTGGTACCCCAGTTCCAGGTGGCACCCCGAGAGAAACCCATCGCAGCCGTGATCACACTTTTTTTGGTCATCTTACTATGTTTTTTTAATGTGGATATACATTTAATTTGAGTGTCTATTATGGTGCTTTTTAAAAGTTTCCATGCAGCTTGTAGGCATTTCACTTTTGTGACTGTACCTTTTAATTTCCATTTAACTAGTTTCTTCATTTTTGTGTAGTTCCCTTTCTGAAGTTAAATGATACGGTGGTGGGCTTTTTTGGTGTTTCCCCCTCACAAGGAGTGTAATATAATTAAATATATCAGGGATTGTCAACCTTTGGCATGCCGCTTGCCAGCATAAGGGGCTTCCCACAGCCCCCATTGGCCTGGAGCAGCGAACCGCGGCCAGTGGGAGCCGCGATCGGCCAAACCTGCGGATGTGGCAGGTAAACAAACTGGCCCGGCCCACCAGGGTGCCTACCCTGGCGGGCCACGTGCCAAATGTTGCCGATCCCTGAAATGTATGGTCACAATTACTCACTTAGGACTAAATCAAGAAGAAATCTAAATCTCCAAGAAAAAGTCATTTATGGTACCTAGAAACACACTCACTGTATCTCGTCCTGAAGTGACATGTACCCAGGACACTAGTCAATATGGGGATAGCTGAAATCCCCTCTTATTTTTAAGTTTTCTATTTTTATAGCCTCTCTAATCTCCCAGCGCATTTTACCATCACCATCTGGGTCAGGTGGTTGGTAGTACATTCCTACTGCTATGCTCTGATTATTCAAGCATGGAATTTCTATCCATAGAGATTTTATGGTATAGTTTGTTTCATTTAAGATTTTTACCACATTTGACTCTGCTTTCTTTCACGTCTAGTGCCACTCCCCCACCAGCATGACCATAGGTGCCAACTCCCCCATAGGGCATGGGGAAAAAATGGTGGGTGCTGAGCACCCACCGGCAGCCTCCCTATCAGCTCCCCCCTTTTTCTCAGCGCCTCCCACCCTTTGCAATCAGCTGTTCTACAGCCTGCAGGAGGCACTGGGGGGGAAGAGCGAGTGTGTGGCGCGCTCAGGCAGTGGTGGATTAGCCACTGGGCCAATGGGGCCCATGCCCGGGGATCCCAGCCAATGGGGGGCCTTGGAAAAAAATCTGCTGCTGGGTGGCGGAAGCCCAGAGCCCTGACTGATGGGTGGGCAGGGTGGGGGAAGCCCTTGTGACCCAACCCCGGTAGCAGCGCTGGGCAGGGCGGGGGAAACCCCGCCAGGTACTGGTGCCAGATTTCTCTCTGAGCATGTAACAGCCATGCTCCATCAATGGTGAATTACAGGGAGGATTAGGGGGATGGGCTCCCTTGCTACTTTTATGGGCTCCCCCTTCTGACTTGTTCAAAGATTACATAGTTTTGCTGGGGACGCAGCAAGGGGACTTTCCGGACTCCATGGAGAGGGGTGGGCTGCCGGGGCAGCTAGGGACCCTGGGGCCATCCCTCCCAGGGGAGGGAACTGGCCACCGCTGGTCCCACTGCCAGGGCTGGTGTTCAGTGGTGGATTCCAGGCTCCCGCGCCCTACTCTGGAGAAGCACCTTGGTCCTGGCGGGAAACGAGAGATGCTGCCCAGTGTCTGGCCAGCAGCGGTCTGGGAGGAAAGACAAGAAGCCATGTCAGGGACTGGATGTCGGGCCCCCGGGGAGCTATGGGAGGGAAGATGGCAAAGGACAGGAACTGTCATCACAGAGGACCCCAGGGACGAGGGGGGCAAAGACCGAGCTCTGCCTGTCTAGAAGCTCCGCATTCAGGAGATAGGTCGGGGGGTATATTACGTGATGGCGTATATTACATTGGTGGACGTGCAGGACACACCACACGATCCATCATCTACAGCCAAGCGCTGAGGTACAACCGCATTTGCCCAACCCCTCAGACAGAGACCAACACCTACAAGATTTTCACCCAGGGCTTTGGAGCTGTGCTCTGGCTCCGCTCCAGCTCCAGGCAAAAATCTGCAGCTCCACTGCTCCGGAGTTGCTCCGTGCTCCAGCTCCGGGCTCTGCTCCAAAGCCCTGTCTTCACCAAGCACTCTCAAAACTACGATACCCGCACAAGGAAATAAGGAAACAAATCAACAGAGCCAGACGTGTACCCAGAAGCCTCCTGCTGCAAGCCAAGCCTAAGAAAGAAAACAGATCTCCACTGACCATCGCCTACAGCCCTCAGCTAAAACCTCTCCAACGCATCATCAGTGATCTACAGCCCATCCTGGACAACGATCCCTCGCTTTCACAGGCCTTGGGAGGCAGGCCAGTCCTCGCCCACAGACAACCCGCCAACCTTAAGCATATTCTCACCAGCAACCACACACCGCACCATAGTAACTCTAACTCAAGAACCAATCCATGCAATAAACCTCGATGACAACTCTGCCCACATATCTACACCAGCGACACCATCACAGGACCTAACCAGATCAGCCACAACATCACCGGTTCATTCATCTGCACGTCCACCAATGTAATATATGCCATCATGTGCCAGCAATGTCTCTCTGCTATGTACATGGGCCAAACTGGACAGTCCCTACGTAAAAGGATAAATGGACACAAGTCAGATATTAGGAATGGCAATATACAAAAACCTGTAGGAGAACACTTCAACCTCCCTGGACACACAATAGCAGATTTAAAGGTAGCCATCCTACAGCAGCAAAACAAAAAACAAACAAACAAACAAACAAACAACCACAACACACTTCAGGACTAGACTTCAGAGAAACTGCTGAGCTTCCAGTTCATTTGCAAATTTGACACCATCAGCTCACGATTAAACAAAGACTGTGAATGGCTAGCCAACTACAAAAGCAGTTTCTCCTCCCTTGGTGTTCACACCTCAACTCCTAGAAGAGGATCTCATCCTCCCTGACTGAACTAACCTAATTATCTCTAGACTGATTCTTGTCTGCATATTTATACCTGCCTCTGGAAATTTCCACTACATGCGTCTGACGAAGTGGGTATTCACCCACGAAAGCTTATGCTCCAATACATCTGTTAGTCTATAAGGTGCCACAGGATTCTGTCGCTTTTTACAGATCCAGACTAACACGGCTACCCCTCTGATACTTGACAAATTGCATAGTTGCACAATGTTTGGCTGAATTTCTGATAGCTGCAGATGTAAGTAATTTTCCAAGTTTAAATACTTTTGTGCTTAATTTTCACAGAAATCATTGCTGAAAACCCAGACAGAGATAACTTGAAGTGAATGGAAGCAGCACTTTCATAGCTTCATCACTGAGTTCTTCATCCTCTTCTTTAACAGAAATCTAGAATTCCTGGTATTTTAGATATGAAACTTGGTCTTCAGCATGGTGATCACTTGACAATTCTATGAGATGTTGTTGAGTCATACTTAAGGTTGGAATGGTGTTAACTTATCAAGAATCCACTAGGTATGGGGAGATCATGTTAAACACCAGGAAAATATCCATAATAATGGGAATACAATGCAGACAAATCTTGGTCTTTAGTAGCATTTTGATCCCTTTCACTCTGTTCTTTTTAAAAGTCTGACAACACTAGAAACATCTCAGCATCTCCCTTTTCAGTGGGGTATCTCCAAAGACAAAGCTTCTTTATGACTCCCAGATTTTCCCTTTCATATCTAGTATATTTGTATTCTTATCTTGAAGTGCTGGATTTAGTGCATTCAATTTGCCATATATGCCCACCAGACACTTGAAAACAAATGACACATTGACACCCCCACCCCGAGCCCCAGCAGAAGCTTCAGGGCTGAAGTCCCAAGCCTGGGCACTCCTCTCACATATGTCTTATCCATATGTATCCTTATATATGTCTATCTGTTCCCACCCAGGCCATTGCCAGATGCTTTGGGAAGATGCTGGTGCTGAAATGTTCCATGAAACTGCAGATGCTGGAGAAAATGTTAATGCAGAACTTCCCGGAATCACGCAAGGTAATAGATCTGATCTGTTCCTTTCTGTGCTGTCTCCTTCGGGGAATCAGAATGTCGGGCAAGATGGAAGCAGAGCAGGTGGGGGGTGAGGGGGAGAGAAGCTTCTTTGCTACTACAACTGACTATCAAGGAACCTGTATCTGATAGCAGTGGGTTTACCAATATGACAGCATAACCCACTAGTCAGCGTGTGTCTAATGCACCTCCCTCTGTGTCTGATCAACATAGGACACAGATCTGTTGGGGAGCCTGATTCTTCAGCTCCAGCTCTTGGGATTTGTGCTTTTAGCTCTGGGAGTCCATGGTTCAGTCTCATATGTGTCAGCCAAGGTGGCAGGCATCACAATAGCAAGCCTCAAAATGGTCTCTCTGGTTCTTAATGTTAACCATGCAACGTTAACTATAATGGTGAGGACGGTATAGGCGAGCTATACCTTGCAGCTAATCAGCAGGATCTTGGATCCTTATCCGGTATCTATCTATCACTGGGGATGGGGGGGGGGGGGTAGAAGGGAAAGATAGTGTAACTCCCTATCCCGTGATGCAAATGGATAAAGAAGAGAAAAGAATAAAGCAAACAGATGCCAGCTTTTATTTAAAACAGAAACAGTGAGATGTGGTTTGACAGTTTGGGTTTAAAACCCAGGCCCAACCAAATAGATACCCTGGCAATAAACAAATAAAGCTAAAACAAAATATCCCAGATACCGCACCATTTCTAAGTGTCGATAGACAGTAGATGGTACAACACCGTTGTCACGGCCAACTGATAGACCCTGGGTCTCAATCGCTGTTTAGTGGGAGATCAATAGGATTTACTGATGCTAAAGAGAGGCCTGGCTCTGTGATCACCCGAGGGTGAGTGATCAACAGGACTGCTGTACCTTTCTCTGAAAACAATGTGAGGTTCAGAGATTGGTAGCACAGTCATAGTTCTTAACGCTGATGTCTTCAGATGCTGGTCTTCTGGTCCACGTAGCCATGAAAATACAACGGTTCCGTGGCTGCCTCTAGGACAGACAGCAACGAGGCAGTGGGTGCTCAGAGTTTATATAGGCACAAGCGCGCCAAAGTTTTGAGGTAAAACTGGCAGCTCCCCTGCTGGAACCTGTTTGAACCAGTATTGGGCTGACCGTTACCTGCCTTTTCCGTCAGAGTTACAAAGGGCACGAAAACTTTAGTAAGAAGCTAAACAAAGGTGGAGTTGAGCTGTTTGGCAGGCACGCCATTTTGAATTTCAGACTCCATATCCAATACATGGTCAAATACCTTAACCAAATGTAAAGGCATAAAGTACAACTTATTCTAAAGCACAAAACAACTTATAATCTCTATTTCATATACAAGAACACGTTACATTATCTGGCAGGTTTATGGAGCAGTGCTGAATATCAATAGAGGCAATCCCTTCAGGATGGAAGTGGTGGTGGATTCGTGGCCAGATTTCAAAGTTGTCATTACCAGGCGGCAGATGGAGGTAGATCAAAACATTTTTAATCTGAGCTCCAGAAGAGCAAATAGACTATGGATCCTGTTGTGATTGAATCCTTTCCTTTAGCTTCTCGGCTGGTGTCAACGTGGAGTGGGAAGGGAGTAGCAAGACTTGCACTCTCTAATACCCTGCAGAGTAGGTGACTTGGCTGATTCCTGGGAACCCACCTGTTCCTTATTAGTGGCAACTGCAGGCGTAAATGTATCAGGCCAAATTCATCCCCAGTGGAAGCCGACACAATGCTCGTTGACTTCAACAAGAATCACTCTTGCTTATGCAGTGCTGGTTTGGGCCAATCACTACAAGACAAAGGGTCCAGAAGCAGCTGGGGGAAAGGCTTTTAGAATATTAAAATGGCCAAAAGCTTCAGGAAACTGCTGCTAGGCCCAGGTTTCTCTTCGCTTAGTGACTGCCTTGGAAAGATGAGGGTCCACCTCCATCACAGCTGTTAGTTACTGTGGGGTTGGGGAGAGTAAGGAATAGATTCTATTCTGATGCCTGGTGTTGAGATACACTGTGGAAAGTGCCAAAGAAGAATATCCTAATCAGGGAACTCCTGAAGATCCAGCGGTTCCTTGGATCTCTGGCCATGGATCTCTGTGAGCTTTGGTTTCCAAGACACAGGAAAAAGGAAGGAATTTTTCTTAACTATTCCATGCCTTTTCTATCCAGGATGAGATGGATGACCTTGACCATTACACCAATGCCTATGCAGTTTTCTACAAGGACCTACAGGCTTACCAGGAGCTACTGGCCAACACAGATACCATCAACTGGGAACAGATCTTTCAGATACAAGGTAAAGTCCAACTTTATCAAACAGGCTACCTGGGTGGTATAAAACATTCTGATGGGGAATAGACCCTGCCATTGTATATTGGCTAAAGATTTCTTATAATAACGTGAAATGCAGGATTCAGGAAAGAGGTGGCAGTTGGACACAGCCCTCCTGGTTTTTGAATTTCACCCACGCTGTATCATTCTTCATCATTGGGCCAAGTTCTGCTCTCAGTTATAGAGGTCCAATTTCCTTGCTGCAGTAAGTGTATTTTGATTTCAGTCTGCTCTCTGTTAAAGGCAAGGATCCCTAGAGAACATCCAGCTCATTAACAGGACTGTTGATCATAGACAGCTGGTTAATCTAGTAGAAGGGGGTAATGAGATCCAATAGTTGGAAGCTGAAGCTAGATCAGGGATTGGCAACCTTTGGCACGCGGCTCGCCAGGGTAAGCCCCCTGGTGGGCCGGGCAGGTTTAACGGCCGTGTCCGCAGGTTCGGTCGATCGCAGCTCCCACTGGCTGTGGTTTGCCGCTCCAGGCCAATGGGGGCTGCAGGAAGCCACGGCCAGCACATCCCTCGGCCCGCACCGCTTCCCGCAGCGCCCATTGGCCTGGGACGGCGAACTGCGGCTAGTGGGAGTCGCGATTGGCCGAACCTGCGGTCGTGGCAGGTAAACAAATCGTCCCAGCCCACCAGGGTGCTTACTCTGGCGAGCCACATGCCAAAGGTTGCTGATCCCTGAGCTAGATAAATTCAGACTAGGAAGAAGGTGCACATTTTTAAGAGTGAGGGTAATTAATCTCTGGAACAACTTACCTAGAAATATAGTAGATTCTTCACCACTTGAAATCCTTAAATCAAGACTGGATGTCTTTTTAAAAGATGTGCTCTCTGTCGAACAGAGGTTACAGGCTTGATGTAGAAATTACTGGGTGAGGTTCTCAGGCCTGCATCGTGTAGGAGGTCAGAGTAGATGATCATAATGGCTCCTTCTGGCTTTAACATACAGGGCCGCCCAGAGGGGGGCGCAAGTGGGGCAATTTGCCCCAGGCCCTGGGCCTCGCGGGGGCCCCCATGAGAGTTTTTCGGGACCCCTGGAGTGGGGTCCTTCACTCGCTCCGGGGACCCCGGAAAACTCTTGTGGGGCCTGGGCCCCCGGAGCTTCTTCCGCTCCGGGTCTTCGGCGGCGGGGGGAGGGGTCCTTCCGCCCCGGGATCCGCCGCCGAAGTGCCCCGAAGACCCGCGATGGGGGGGGTCCTTCCGCTCTGGGACGCATCTCCAAAGTGCCCTGAAGACCGTGGCGGGGGGTCCTCCCACCCCGGGACCTGCTGCCGAAGCACCGGGTCTTCGGCGGCAATTCGGCGGCAGGGGCCCCCCACCGCCGAAGACCCCAGGCCCCCTGAATCCTCTGGGCGGCCCTGTTAACATATGAAATTATGGAGATTGTATTGAATGGGGAAGAAAGAAACATGCAGTAAAGCTGAGGGTTTTGAAGATTTCAGATGTGCAAACAGCTCCATAGTGAATCCAAGCTTTGTTCTTTTTATTTATTTCCATGTGTATTTTGTTTTTTAAATGAGTCACTATTTATCTGTGTCTACACAGGGCTCCAGGATGGATTATATGAAGCATCCAACACTGTTGCTATGTCTAAACAAGTCAATGTGAAACGATCCTCTTTCCAGATGTTTATCCTCCCAGACCCTGACATGCTGCCAGACGTCAGAACTCAGTATGTCCAATCGCATCCTTCCTATTTTCCATAAATATGATAATACTTAGCTCATATCTAGCACTTTTAATTAGTAGATCTTAAAGTGGGGGTCTCAAACTCAGTTTACCTTAGGGCCAGTGCCAGTTCTCAAATCCTCCCAGCGGGCCAATAATGTCACTGAAGATGGTGTTCAGAAAAGAAAACGTCAGTTTGTTGACATTTGGCCTCAGTGACTGAGCAGTTGAAACCTTCAGGATTGCAGCAAGGTGTGCATCAGATAGTTGTGTTTGGTATTTTGACTTGTTTATATTCGTTATGGAAAAAAAATGATGCTGCCTCCATGGTTGACTCTGCCTGGCGACTAGAGATGTCCCTCTCCCCCAGCCAACGGGAGCTGTGGGGGGTGGTGCCTGTAACAGACGTTGCCTGCAGCGTACCTGCATGCATCTCTCCTCCACGGGCTGCAGTGGGGAGATTCTTGGGCTGCAGATGGCCCTCGGGCGGTGACTTTGAGACCCCTGTCTTAAAGAGCTTCAAATTGTGGAAACTGAGGCACAGAGAAGTGGAGTGACTTGACCAAGGATCCCCAGCAGGCCAGTGACAGAGCTGGGAATAGAACCCAGCTCTCCTCAGTCCTAGTCAAATTCTCTATCTACTAGGCCACACTGAAATAATAGCCAGACTGGTAGGTCATTGGGACAAACTCTGGCTGACTGAGGAAGAGCCTGGGAGTGAGGAGGCAATGCCAGGAAGTGAGAAGCACTGTATATATTTTTAAGGGTCTTACTAATTTTTAAGGAAAGGCAGAGACCTTGAGGTGTGTTGGTAACCATGATTTATTTTTCACTCTCCAAATCAGGTCCTCAACTCCCTCTAAAGGATCGTGGGTGGTGCAGTCCAACAAGCATTTCTTGTACTAAGAACTGCTACAGTTAAAACCATTTAAAACAGCATGTGCACATATTACTACAGGGGTGGGCAAACTTTTTGGCCCAAAACTGTATGGAGGGCCGGGTAGGGAAGGCTGTGCATCCCCAAACAGCCTGGCCCCCTGCCCTCTATCCGCCCTATCCCACATCCCGCCCCCTGACTGTCCCCCTAAGAACCACCGACCCATCCAATACCCCCTGCTCCTTTTCCCCTGACCGCCCCCTCTCATGATTCCTCACCCCTAACCGCCCCCCCCGGGACTCCACCCCCATCCAACCCCCCCTGCTCCCTGTCCCCTGACTGCCCCCTGGATCCTTCTGTCCCTTATCCAACCCCCCCACTCCTCACTCCCTTACCATGCCGCTCAGAGCACCAGGACTGGGAGCCGCACTGCCTGGAGCCAGCCACGCTGCTGCGCAGTCTAGAGCACGGGGCAGGCTGGCAGCTCTCACTGTCTGGCAGGAGCTCGCTGGCGGCACGGTGAGCTGAGGCTGTGGTGTTACCCGGGGCTCTTTCAACCCAAAGCTCTTGGTAACTTTTACTCTGTGCGAGGTGGTGTCAGGAAATAAATCAGGGGAGACACAGCCGTCCGACGGACAGATGGCTGGCACAAACAGGACAACACAAGAGTGCTTTCACTTAAAGCTAAACTTTACTTAGACTCAAGCACTTACACACGTCCGCAACAGATTAGTAAAACACCCCCAACCCTTGAAAATTACCAAAGCTGAGTGTGGCTCTCGAGTGGCACAGTGGCAGCCCATCTGCCGGTGGGGAACACAAGTTGCATCCAGAGGGAGAGACCAGTCCCGAAGAGTCCCCAAACGAGTCCCCTTCTTTATACATTAGTAATAGAATGACATGTCCCTTAAAGAAACCTTGTCAAGTAAGCAGTTTCAAGCAAGAGGTTCCTTCTGATTATTGATTAACCAGGTGTGGGTTTTTCCAGCGTCTGCAGCCTTGAGACCTCAATAGACATTCCTGGGGCATAGCCTACTCTTTTAAAACGCATGTATCAGCAACTTCAACACAATTCTTATCAGGAAGGACGCGGGGTCAAGCTGCCCTTTCTGTGGCACCCAAAACCCCCTCCCCTCCTGCCTTGGTCAAGCTGAGATTGCTACATGGCCACTTTACAGCTTGCTGACTAGGCTGTCTTTAACAATAAGCCATAGTGGTTTCAAGCACTTTACCGGTTTGCCAAAGTCTCCCTGTACAGTGGGGGAGGGGGGACAGCCGGGGAGGGGGTGGGGGCTAGCCTCCCCGGCCGGGAGTGCAAGGGCCAGGCAGGATGGTCCTGTGGCCCGAATGTGGCCCGAGAGCCACAGTTTGCTCACCTCTGTATTATGAGCTTACTCCCAGGACTCAGACATAACTCATCCCTGGGCACCTGGCAGATAAGGGCTGGACCTCACATCTAGACTCTCCATACAGCAGTGGCACTAATCCTCAAATCTCTAGCCTGGCCTAGCAATCTTTCGTTCCCTTTTCTGAAGTGGAACAGGAAAGTCATTGAATGGGGAAAGATGGCTTAGGGATGAAGTATTCTGCCTAATGCATTTCCTATACCTTCTCCCAGGATGGATCCTGCACCGAGACTGGCTTACCTTGATGTCTCTCATGCCAGCCTGCTGAATGAAACCTGGTCACGGGGAGGCAACGAGCAATGCCAGAGGTACATTGCCAACCTCGTTTGCTGCTTCCCCAGCCTCTGCGTGCTAGATGACAACGGGCACCCTGTCTCCTGGAGTCTGACAGATCAGTTTGCCACCTTGATTCACACTTATACCCTTCCTGAGCACCGCAGGAAAGGTTATAACCGTCTTGTTGCCACCATGTTAGCTAAGAAGTTACATAGCCAGGGCTTTCCAGTTCAGGGTAACATCCTGGAGGAGAACATACCAGCTATAACATTGTTCAAAAGCATGAACTGTCAATTTCTGCCCTGCCGATTTTTCAGACTCATCCACACTCCTTTCCGGTTTTTAGCCAGCCCTGACCTATAGTCTAAGCACCGGTATAAGTTATTGATCTCCTGAGTATCTCCTCCACTGTAACTAGGTGAAATATTACAGCCTGTGTTATATGGGAAATCAGACTAGATGATCATAATAATCCCTCTTCTGGCTTTAAAAATCTCTGAATCTAATATACCCTAGTAACTGTTCACGGTATCTCAGTTCAGCAAATCAAAGAAAGATAAGAACGGATTTAAGTCTAGCATTTGGTTATTGCAATTCATCTGTAACTGACATCTCCACTGTATTCCCTCTTATTAAAAGGACAATTCCTTTAGCTTAGCGAACTGTCTTGTATACTCAGAGAGACAAGATAGGCAAGCTTATATCTTTTATCAGACCTACCCACATTTACTGGACAAACCAGACCTCTGACCCCTCCTGGCCTCTTCAAGTGCACCTCATCTAGATCTCAGGCCCTGGGCTGTCTCTTGGGGCGGAATCACATAATTTTCCCACTTTCAGACCAGGCCCCGGCTTGCAGTCCCCTGTGTATCAACCATGATCACCTCGGCAGACATGTCCAGACCCTACAGTTCTGTTCCCTCTGGGGAAATGACAGTGGTAATCAGCAACCAAACAGCCTCCTTCAAGCAAAGTATTATTTAGAACCAAAGCATTTCAGAGAAAAGTGGTCTTTAGTAATAAGGCACACTACATGCCTCTCTAGCTCACCAGGTGGTTAACAGTCTTACTACAGACTCCACATGGAAGATAAACTTCCTATAGACTCTTCTGCAAAACCGCTGTGTGTGTCAGCGTCTCTCCTCCCTGTCAGAGCTCCATGATATTCTCTGGACAGTCCAGGGATCAAGGCACTATGGATATGCCTGCACTGAACTTAAGAGGCGTGACTGCATCTCCTGTAGACATGCCTGAGCTAGCTTCAATCTAGCTAGATCAAAGGTAGCTCGACTAACAATAGCAGGATAGTCACAGCAGCCAGGGGGTGGGGTCGGGGGTGTGTGGAGCCCAGGTACATACAGGAACAGCTAGCGTGGTCTGCTGCCCCTGCTGCTATACATTGGCCAGACCGGACAGTCTCTACGCAAAAGAATAAATGGACACAAATCTCACATCAGGAATCATAACATTCAAAAACCAGTAGGAGAACACTTCAATCTCTCTGGTCACTCAGTAACAGACTTAAAGGTGGCAATTTTGCAACAGAAAAGCTTCAAAAACAGACTCCAACAGGAAACTGCTGAACTTGAATTAATATGCAAATTAGATACCATCAATTTAGGTTTGAATAGAGACTGGGAATGGCTGAGCCATTACACACACTGAATCTATTTCCTCATGTTATATTCTCACACCTTCTTGTCAAACTGTCTGAAATGGGCTATCTTGATTATCACTGCAAAAGTTTTTTCTCTTAATTAGCCTCTTAGAGTTGGTAGGGAAACTCCCACCTTTTCATGGTCTCTGTATGCGTATGTATATCTCCTTACTATATGTTCCATTCTATGCAGCCGGTGAAGTGGGCTGTAGCCCACGAAAGCTTATGCTCAAATAAATTTGTTAGTCTCTAAGGTGCCACAAGTAACACAACACCTCGTTCATACTGGCGCCGCGGTGCTCCAGCGGGGGTGCAGCAAACGTTATTCTACTCGCCGAGGTGGAATACCAGCAGCGCTGTAGCTGCGGAGTCAGAGCGCTCTACGTGCCTTGCCAGTGTGGACGGGGAGTGAGCTAGTGCGCCCAGGGCTGCTTTATTGCGCTGTAACTCGCAAGTGTAGCCAAGGCCTAGGTGTTCTTATCTGGGAAGCCACTGTATTGCTTTGCTCTTTGTTCTATTGCATTCAAACATTATGGTGTATAGTAAACATTCCACTACCCCAACATAAATTATACAGTCTCTCAATAACTAGGTTATATCACTATTCATAGATTAACACATAGCAGATCCATGACTGTCACGCTCGTCGTTTCAAACCAGCTAATGATCAAGCAACGAATGGCACAGTTTCCTTTGTTAACAAAGCCCATGGGGATGTTCACAGTACCTAGGAACGTGACCTCATGTGTTGGGCCTACAACAGATCAACAAATTTAGCAACAACACACTGGGAAAATTGAGTGGTATATTAAACACAATGCTTATGTTAGCAGCCTCCCTTTGTATATTTGGGACACATCTGATTTAACTACATCCCCAAAGAGACATCACAGATAAAAATATGCTGAATGTTAAACAAAAGAGCAGTTCTCAGGTGCTGCAAAGATCTCTCTCCTGTAATGCAAAAGAAATGGCTTGTGGTTCTTTCAGATGTTGTTACATTCAAGTGAATGCTCATCAGCAACAAGCTAACATGAGTCCTTCTTTAAAAGACATTTTATCTGCGCACAATGCCAGCATGAATACAAAGATAATTTTGAGATGTCACTTCCATCTGGTCACCCAGTGTGTTATGTGCTGGAAGTCTGTGCTGTATTGTCCAATTTAGGGCCCGATCTCTCAAGTACTTTCTCTTGAAGGTAATGAGTGGTTCTGCATGTAGTCATCAAAAAAAACCAAGAAACCTCATTACACTTTCTGCAGGAGAAGGGATTTGTCCTAGTGTATTTTCCCAAAGTTTCCCCTCTTCCCACAATGGTGCTGTCTTCTGCATACTAGCTGCCACCCTCCACCCCAAAGAAGTTGCATTTCAGTGGTTTCAGTTTGTAAAATGCTTTGGAGCGTTGTAATAATTGGGCCTACAGATTTACCTTACTTGTGAGCCTGACTGTGGAAAAGTGGATACAAGTTCCTAGTGACACAATAACCTTGTCACAAGGTCCACTCACTGCTGGGGCACCATCTCCTGCTCTCTCTGGGGATTAGCTCTTTCCAGGGCTGATGCTCCCTTCTGCTGCTTGCTTCACACCCTACTACCCCTCTCTCTCCCAGTCCATGTGACTGCAAGTGCTTCTTTGTGACTTGGCCTCTGCCCAGGTCACTATGCATCTTTCCCTGTTCTGGGGTATCAAAGTCTTTTCTAACAAATGGTCTCAGGCAGCCTTCCCATTCACTGCCCAACTAGTGCCACTTCCCCACTGGCTAGCAGGGGAACCCAGGCCCACCCACTACTCCAGATTTTTACTCAAGGATCCTCTAATCAGCAGCCGAGGTCTGCACCCTTCTGAACCTTGATGCCTTTCCTTACCTTCTGGCTCTTCCACTTCTCTGGGCTCACCAGCCTCATAACTTCCTTCTCCCAGGGAGTAACTCTAAACTATTTTAATTTTATAGCCTTCAAACACACCTCCCTGCCCCAGGAAGTGGCTGCAGTCTATTTCCCTACCACCCCTTCTACTAGGGGCTTCCTGCCTTTATAAACCCAGCCTACCTCCTCCCTCCTCAGCTAGGCTCCCTCAATCAGTCAGGGGATTCCTTAAACCACCTGGTTCCCCTCAAGTGTGGCTTGTCTGGTTAATTGGCCCCCTTCTTAGCCTGCATTAACCCCTTCAGGAAAAGTGTGAGGTGAACACCCATCACAACCTATACCAATAAATGTTGATGGGAAAAGGTGCAAGAGGGAGACAGAATTCAGAAAGACTGAATTAGTCCAAACGAAGAGGCCTAGGGATATAACTCAAGGACTGTGTTAAGATTATGCCTGGTAAACAAGCATGGGACCAGAAATCAATGAACCAAAACTGATGTGTTGGCAATTAGGCCTAATTGGTGGACAAAATAATGAGGGGATGGGCTATTCCACACACCACTCCCTTTTGGAATTCTTAAAAAAAGTAAAGACATGGGGGGAGGGGGAGAAGAGATGGACAGAGGAGTACGCTTCTTGACTGAAAGACAAGAGAAAGAGAAGGAATGAGCTTTGCCATCATAGCTGCCACCCCAACCATCTCCTGGGACTCCAGCATCTACCCTGACACCCTGGTGCCTTCTTTGCCCTAATCCTGGGAAATGTCCTGACCCGACCAAGCCAGAAAGCAGGATCCTGATGATACCTCTGGCTAAATTCCAAACATCACCTGAGATATGAGATCTTGTTTCCCTGGGGCCACTGTGTTCTCCACCTTCCCTATTGTATTTTTCCTCTCCCCCTGCCCCCTTTTCCTTCTGTCTAACAGCAGTCTATAGTCAGCCAAGACTGTATATTTTACAACACTGCTGTAAGCCTATGACCAGAAAAAGACAGCTGAAAGCAATGCCCTAAATCGCCCAATACGGATACAAGTTTGCCAGGTCTCTCACTGGCTGATAAAATCATCTGCTGAGTTTGTGGTTCTCCAGCAGGAAGGTTGCAAGTGGGAGTCAACACCAGAAACAGAAGCTGCATTTTCTCTCCTTGCTGTTCTTTTCTCCCCCTTTTTGTGTGTATGTCTTGTTTTGTCGTCTCTAAAATGGGGTTGGACTTTAATAAGAGCAACAACAGCTTCAGCCCATCTCAACTGATTTCTTCTCTTTCCCCCCCAAAAATATTACCATCTGCAATACCGTTTAATTGACTATCAGAGAAGAGGTGTGTGTGTGCGCGCAGGAGGGGGGCTCTTTTTAAATACTCCCTCCAGCTAAAGGAACAGGGAACAAAGGATATTGTTAAAATAAACCTTACTTAAAGCATTTGAATTGTAATGTATTAATGGTTTCTTCTCTTTCCCCCCCAAAAGTAGTTATTACCATCTGCAATACCATTTAATTGACTATCAGAGAAGACGTGTGTGTGTTTGTGTGTGTGTGTATGTGTGTGTGCAGGAGGGGGGCTCTTTATAAATACTCCCTCCAGCTAAAGGAACAGGGAACAAAGGATATTGTTAAAATAAACACGGGATGTAATGGGCAAAGGAAGGACTAGAAATCAAAAGTTCCCCATTCCTAGTACCTTGCTCAGTCCACCAGACCATAAGGTCATCCAGGCAAGCTAGTGCCCATATGCAAGGGGACAGACAGAACCTCCTGAGCAGCCTAAAGGCCGGAAGGGAGCACGCTGAATTCTCTCTAAGGACCATTTTCACTTGCTCAAGGATTGGCAATGACAGGT